CCCACAAGATACTGGAGTCCATGTGCACCATTGGTTTGGAATTCGGTTAAAACGCCGAACATTCGCTTTTCGTCCTCCCACTTTCGTAAACAACATCCCCGCCACGAGAAGGCAGTGAGTAGGACTTCCCTGTCAGAGGCTATATACTCGTGGCCATGTGAGAGCATTTCGAGAGGGAGAGCGGACTCTCCCCACTCTCGGCAGTACCAGGGGATTTGATAAGACATAAGTTTTAGTCAATTCTGAATGTGAATCAAGAATGAAGAGAACAAACTGGTAGATAATATGGGAAAATATGTCATGATACCGAAATAACATAAATAACCAATTAAATTTCATTTTATTTAACTGGATCAAACTGAGAAATACATACTACATCTCTTCATAAGATATTAAAGTCTATAATTCTAAAAGAAGTTCAAAATGAAAAGCAAACCAAAAGGACAACTGTGAACAAATCTTGGATCGAACAAGTACTAAAACATTAGAGAATTTTTAGATACTTGGCGTTCAGTTGGCTAATAAGCAATTAACAAACATCTCGAAATCGACCTAATTTAGCAACAAATCAGAGAAATCATAGACAACCTTAAGACTCACAACAAGAACAAAACGACAGACAATAAAAATTAGGATACACGGAATGACAGATTAAGGGGTGACAACAACAACAACAACAACAACCAGTCAAGATCGAAATCGACATATGTAAAGAAATTCGAATACATCACTTCCACCAGAACTTTGTACTGATGATATTTTTCAGAAGAATAATGAAAGCTCCAGCTTTGAAAAGAACACTTCAGAATCAGTATACCCTATAAAATTAAATATACTTAGACTGAATGTATTTGATTACAGATGTCTTTGAAACAATTATTAACTACAGAATAACAACATGAATCTATTTAGGTTACTCTCCGAAAATGTGTATTTTCTAACTATAAAACGCATTATAATTTACAAATATATAAAAGAGTATTTCATATTACATTAACAATTTTTACTTTATTTGTAGTTTCAACAGATAAAACTACTTGGAAACTGTTCTGGTTTATTAAACAGTTCACAGCAGTATAATAATCAAAATAATTAAACAAGTAGCTAAAACACACTTGGTAAACAAAACATTGGTTCAATTTAAACTTTCAGAAAGAAAATTCAAAACGTGTGCACACATACACATGACAGAGATTAGACATTGAACGGTAGAAATGTTAGAAAGTATTTAAAACGAAAGACGATGACATGATGAGCTGTAATAACGAGTTTCTTCTCTCTCTCTCTCTCTCTCTCACACACACACACACACTTGATTGAATCTGATGAGTTTATCAAGAAAAACACAAAACTAACCAAAACCAATCACGGCATCTTTCAATATATTTTAGTTAAAATGGTTTTGTAGATATTGATCTAGATTCTAGGTCGTATTCGTCATAGATAGATATCTTACTTAAAGTATTGGAGAAAATTAGGAAACAGGATAGCTATTTTTTTCTAGTATGATACTTCTTAGTATTAAGCACCCATCAACTCATCAGGAACCGGAACTAAAATCTTTAGCTATCGTGACAAGCACGCAACCATTAAGAGTAAGGAGTTAATACCCAATAACACAATGTTGACTCCGATCAATTTGCCATACACCTCGACGATTGTTTAATGTCACTAGTGATTGGTAGGGTTCAGGCAAGCCGAGGATGAAACAGTTTTTTAATCAGTCACATTAGATTATCATAGGGCCATTTTACTGATCTAATTGAAATTGAAAATGTACCACTGAGTCCCAAGTCAGCGATTTTGGAGGGTAGGCATTTGCTGCGAGAACTAACAGTTCTGACTTCAATCCTGAGTGAAGTGGATGCGCATTGTTGAGGATCCTCATACTGAGAAGAGACTGTTGCCTAGTTCTTCTTGATTATCAGTGCCAGATAGATCGGTCAAACGCAACATAGAGCACGATACATGTATACATCGGTTCCGAATTAGCACAGAGAGGTGGCAAATCACACAGTAATAATAGTGGCAACAGTATTAGTGGTAATAGAAAAGACTGTACATTCAATACACAATTCGAGATTTAGAAACTTAGGACCTTAAGGTAGTAAAGGAATGAATGCACCTGTGCCATTGAGAACGATTTCAATCCGTCATTCAAAGTCTCTAACTACCGAACATGCAACCGTCACATTCGTTGATGTATGTTTCTTTATTAAAACAACTTAAAACAACAAGTCACAATTTGTGTGAGTTTATGATATCATAAAACCCTTCAAATCAAAGTGAGTTCGGGTGAGCAACGTGATGGTTGAAAATCGAAAGTTATTACTACCAAACCACTGACTCATACAAGCACACACTATTGACTACCTAGCACCCTAAACTAAACCCTAAAATTAGATAGTTTATCCCATTGTATATAACTCTTTTTTAAATTTCGCAAACAGATACGTTTTAGAGAATTTCTTCAGGAAAATCGAAAATTATTCTGTAGACTTTAAAATGGAAACTGCGGAATAGCCCTGTTTGTCATACTTATCAACACTGAGGCAGGGAGAAAAGTTAACATACAGAAATAATCAGGCCATAAAAGTAGTAACCAAAAAGAATGTGAAAATAGGGCAACGAACACCGAAAATTCATCGCCTTTCATAAACATTATATTTACAGTCACATGTTTTATGCACCGCTGTTATGCATGTCTATTTTGAAAACTATTTTAGTGTTTCAGTCAAGTAATAGAACACTTACCAGAACCCAATCAATCACTAAATAAACTTGACTAATCCTCAGATTTCAGATGAGATTGAGGATGTATTAAGATATATCTATTCCACAAGAAATGTACTACCTTGATCATGAGATGAGAAGAATCTAAATACATATTTAGCCAGAATCACAGAAAACTTCAACTGTGATTTAAGGTTAGAAAACATATATTTAAATAGTTCTCAGGGATATAACGTCGGAACTTTTCAAATCAGTAAGGTACTATCACGCCCATGTAAAATTCAGATTCTATTAGATACCCTACAACTAGAAAAATGCAGACAAAATGAAGATTATATGATGAAGCAGTGTGACTGAAAATATATAGATGGATTTATACACCCCGTATTTTCGAATCTGTAGAATCATAAACTACTTCTTGTCTATTTGTGATTATTAACAGAGCTAAGAATTTATTGCTGAATAATATTTTATCCGTCGATGTCTTAAAAATGGTACTGCAGTAATATGATATAAGAGCGAAGGCTAAAAATAAATTGAGTACGCTTTTAGATTTTCAAGTAGTATGCTCGGAAATAATAATGAGTGAAGTAACAAGCGGCAGATCTTAGCGAGTGGTAAAGTGACGTTCTAAACTGATATTTGTCAGGAGCCACTTATCAACCAAAAGCACTTACTATAACTTTGGTCCAGTTAAAATGGACATGACCGAAAAATTTAAAGGTTTAACTATAAGCACTTGACGTGTTGACTTTGAAAAAGCCCACCTCATAATATTGCTTATCTAAAAAAACATAATAATTTGAGTTTGTGACACTATTTAAAAATGGTGAAAGATTGCAAAATATTCATTGGAAAACTTCATAAACGCTTAGATTAAGAAAAACGCTACCACGACTATTTAGCCATGATCACGGAATTAATGATATTAAAGTATGGCCACATTAAAATTACAACATAACAGCCTGTCTATCTAAATGACATTGTCGAGCTTAGTTCAACTCGAAGTGCGATTTTTGAGAAGAGACTGAGGACTGCTGGAAATTTACTCCAAAACACTATGTTCGTATGTGACATATTATTATGTAGGTGGGACTTAAATGAGATTCTTAGTTTGAAAATTTACTATTCAGTTGATCAGCCAAAGTGGGGTTCCGATACATGTTCAACTCTGACCAACAACTGATGGCTTATTAAAATTAAAATCAACATTATATACAAAAACATAATCGATTCCGGAGTGTTAAAACTAAAGTTGGTAGATATGTTTTCGACAAGTATCAACAAGAACAGGAAAAACAACATACCGAGAATTCACTTGTAAAAGTGGGTTCGCTTGTACCAAAATAAAGTTCAATTATTTAAAGTATGACTACTATGAACAGTACAAACTTTATATGGCCTTCATATTTTATAGCTAAGATGTAAATCTAAAAGCAGAATTACTCAACTTGTCCAGTTTTCTTGTCTGTTACTACAGAAAAACAACACAAAACACTTCAGTTTATCCATCAAAATTACTACTGATTAGATATGCAGTGAAAGTTATGGAAACGCAATAATCTTCACAAGTGAGGACAGATCTCTATGGTCAAATATTTATTTGAAATATGGGAAGAATCAGTACACAACAATGAAGGAATGGATTTAAAGTAATACTACAATAAATTTACTTATGAAGAGAACAAGTCAGCACATATATTTTCACAAGTGTTCAAATATATACTAAATTAAGTCTTTTAAAGATAAATAGTCTGTTACGGAGTCGTCTTAAAGCGTAACACTGGAATTGAACACACACAGAGAGGCAAGTTTGCGGATGTTACGAATCTGAGGTACTGAGGTAAATTAAGGTTCTTAAACGGCTACAAATCAGGCATTCACTCAATCAAATTAGGCCAATATCTGTTCATTAAATAGCATGCAAAAATAAAACGAACTAAGAAGTGTGTATTTGTCAAAAAGCCCATAAAACCTAGAAAAGAGGTAATCATATGTTTCATTTTCATTGTGAGAGTTTGTATCTCAGATTGTGCAGGTATGTTTTGAATCTTCCTTAGACTAGTACTGAAAGTTTTTAAACAGATAAATGGGGAATGACTGGAAGTCAGGAATTTAACAGTAATCCCATTTGAAAATACATATTCAATTAAATAATGTGTACTATTTCGCTGATAAATGGGTACTTTATTGATGAATATAAGGATAGATATTAGTTAAAGAATTACCAGTTAACTATATTAATCTCAACACATTAAAATAATTACCTTGCAGGCCTCGCAAACGTATGCCCGATGGTGGAATCCGACAGCTGGCTGACCACAAATCTGGCAGGCTTGGTCTTCAGACCGGGTTTGATACTGTACAAAGGCATGTTCAGGAGTGAGAATAGATCCATCGTCATCAGGTAGATAAACTCCTTGACATAAATGTGTTTTACAAGCAGTGGATGACGTCGGAAGAGAATTGTTGTTGTGGTGAGAGTCAGAGCACGTTTTGTCAAAGATTTTAGAAGTCACATTTTCAAGTTTACCGTTAGTTGAATCAGGGGGAACGTTGACGGTTATGTCCATTTATGGTTCAAATAAATTTACACATAAGTGCGGCAAAATACACACTGTATAAATATTATTAAAGAGTGCAGAGAAATTTATATGACGTATAAAACTCTGGAAATAAAGTTTCCAAGCCAGATATTAAAACATGTGATAAATATTAACAACAATTATATGTAATTATTACTCCTTCTAGTAGTTTTAAAAAAATAAGCGAATTCTTTAGGTAGGTATAACACAGGGAAATTGAAGTAACATCATTTCCTGGAAATTTTATGCCCAGTAATCTGAGTGAAGCGAAAAGTTGAAGAGGACCTTGAAGAGACCTTGGAAAAAGATGTACTCGCGAAATTTAAAACAGGCGCTTTTGAAGGTACACATCTAACAGCACGAACGAAGTTGCAAGGTATTGAAGTCATTAAAACTCTATTTCACTTTAAAACTTGTGCAAATTTTCTATAAATTACATTGCCAATGATAATAAAAATGACATTTTCCAACATCACTGAAATGTTTTATATTTAATATGAGTGCATCAGATAGTTTTGGATAAAAACAGTGAAGTTCACGCTTGACAAATACCGTACTCAATGACAGTCGATCACTTAACCCTCTAGGCAAAGATTCCGGTTAATGAAACTTGGTGAAATATATTGGTGAACCTGTCTTAATCCTAACAGTTTGCTTTTCAGCGAAACTGCTGCTTCCCTTTGAAAGGATTCACTGGTACAGTTGAAACTACGTATTTGGGTAATGCGTTTCAGTCACTGACTACTCAGTGAAAGAAACAAGACTTCACCCTGCTTTTATTAGATCTCGGTTTTTGAACAGCTGCTCCAGATTCGAAGATTACTAGTGATGGAAGTAGCAAAACGTTACTACATATCAGCACCCAAATAGTAATTAAAGGTACAGAATGACGATGTAAGGTCTTGTTACTTTCTGCAACATGATAAGAGGAAATACTTTAGGCGTTTTAAGTGCTCATCGTAATGAGGTTTGGAAATACCATCCACTAATTTTGTTTACTCACACTGTACATGCTCACGTGAGTTAATATCTTTAATAAGATATGGGTCAATGACTTCGATACAGTACTCTAAATGTGGTCTTACTTATGCGGTATCTAAATTTCGAAACATTTCGTCAATGTTTACTATTGTTGGGCGAAGTGAACATAACTCACGAAATACTTCGACAGCTTCTGCGTTGCAGTGCGTAGCTGCTTTCAAGTCGTGACCTACTATTACTCCTAAGGTTTTGTGTGTCCTGCATGCGTGGAAGATATGCACTTTAGAAAGCCTTTTGCTTATTATTACTGTAACCGATGTGCATGAGGTCATTCCTTCTTAAATTAATTTCTAAGCCATAACACTGAGGCTATCTAACTAAATCTACCGGCTCATCTTGGAAGTGAAAATGATTAGAAATACTTCTTTTTGTTTTCCAGATTTTTACATCACTCGCGAACAATAATGTCAACGTTTTAGGCAGTCGCGGTCATTCATTTATGCGGAGAAAGAAAAGTAAGGGAAGTGAGTAGATGTCTTGGGGTATGCCACCTTTTACCTGCTCCCACTCAAATAATGTTTCATTTACCTTCAATTCATCTTTGGCCACACAAAAACTTTCTTTAACATACGTATACAACACCTGTTACTCTGAATCCTTGGAGCTTCTGCATATGACAGTGATAAACTATGTCAAATGCTCTTCTTAAGTCTGTAACTTAAATAACTAAGCCGAAACCTAGTTTAAAGTAACGTAAATAATAATCTATTTACAAGAGTGGGTAGGCGGTTAGCACGTTCTGTTCCTGACCATCTTTAAATATGGGACTAACCATACCATCCTTACAATCCCTAGGATGTTGAGTATGGGAAAGGGGCATGTTAGAGAGCGTTATGGGTGACCTTTAAATAATGTTTGCGATAGATAACAGCAATCGTGGATATAACCCATCAGGACCCATTGTCTTACTGGGTCTGAGATTAATGATCAATTGAAAAACTATCTTTTCATTCATATCTACAGATCTTAAAGTTGGTATTCTAGTGGTGTGCATATGACAAGTATTGTTAACGCTACTGCAGATTAGGCTTCGCTGAAATAGTTTGATAAGGTCTCAGCTTTCACCTGATCGTATTCAGCTAGTATATCTAAAATGCTTTGCACCAGTAATGAAGAAATACCATCAATACGCTTTGTTCTCTGATTAATGTAAGAGAACAATTGTTTTGTGCAGGTACAGCTATCATAAGCCAACTGTATTTCGTAAGCTGTGCGAAATCTGACTATAGTCTTTATACACTTATTTCGGACTGTTCGGGATTAACATTAAAATGATTCATGGCCCGCTGACAAGAACATGTCACAGAAGTTTTTCTACGCCTCAGTACTTTTTGGGTATCCTTGTCGACCTATCAAGAGCAATGTGGTAGTCTACGTGTTAACCATGTGATGTACGGTGATGTTACAGACTTGAATGTGGCTTGAAACATATCTCATTTGTTTCTGATCAATCCATGTGCATAGATCGCCTGGTCTGTTGAAATAACATAGTCTTTGACTGCCGGAAGTCGCCTGCTTTCTCGGTAACTGTCTTGGGGGTCGTGACCGTAGATCTAATGACTGAATCATTTAATTGGTTTTTGAGTTTCCATGATTTACTGTTGTTAATTTTTCGGTACATGTAGCCCAGTTAAAGTGGATCAAGTGGTTATCAACACAATGCTCTGCATGAAGTGCTTGCCATAAATGCAGTAGTTTGTCCGTTAAATTTGACTCACTCGATATGACTTCATTGGTGTGCTCCAACACGTTTCGAGTGACATTCAGTTTAAACACCTTTATTCCACTAAAATGGTTGTTTATCGAATGTCAGTACTGCTGGCATATCTTTGAAGATTTTCCGCACCGAGATATTACGTGCGTGCAAGTGGATCTTAATGATGATCATGATATTGATGTCATTAGTGCAGTTATCCGAAATTGTAAACATTATATCTCAAAGATATGGGCACAGAGATAAGCACCATAAAACTGTATGCCCTTTAAATTACCGAGCATATTCTGGGCATCTATTAAGTACAGAATAATTTAGTTTGACCTTTCGATAGTCGTGCATGCTTAAAATTCAGCGACCTTAGGGGCTTCATTAAGCAGTTCAAGAAATGCATGACATTTAGTCATCACTTTTCTTCTCAATTATGAGCTATGAAGAAATACGGTGGCATTTCACAAAAACGGTCTTAGGGGGTGGAATGCAACCACAGTCACTTTAAATGGTATGGTAAATTAAGCGTTGAGCCTATTTGAAAAGTTGAGCTGAGCTCAACTTTAAGTTGCCCTAAAAGCTGGCATATCATCCGCTACACTCTCCAAATCTAACTGTAATATTATAGAGATACTCATGCACGACCTAAGAATTCACCCCAGACTAGTCTATATACAGAACTATGAGACTACAGTATCCGAAACATCTTTCTACGTATGCTGTATGTTATCTGAAATAAGCTACAAGTGGGAATTTGATAAGCAGGTATTTTCGTTTGTTTATCTTTAAAGATAAAAAATCTTTAAATGACCCTTAGAAATTAAATGTGCTACTAGTATACCAGAGTACACAGACTATGAAAAATATTCTGCATTCTATTAACAAACAGCATACTCCACATTTATTAACATGTTGAAACGATGGCAACTGGAACGTTTATACTTCCGGTCCGTGCTTCACCAATTATTCCCAAAACTCTCGTGCAATACTAAGGCACTTTGTTATTCACCAGTCGGTGATGCCGATTCTAACAACCTTCGATGTTACACACGAGAGGAAATTTGCAGTCCACTGATCTGTCGCTTCTTCGAAGACAAGAAAAACATAAGATTTTCTCTTCAGCCTTCTCCCAAATATCATTGATTACTAATGTAGAGAATCGTGAAGATTTATCAATTATGCGACTTTCTTCGCATATTATACTAAATGAATTGATACCAGTTTTATAGAACGACAGCTTTTATGTGAAACAGACTACCTTGCTGAAAATTCGTTTTCACTAATTCTATAGTTCTAACCACAAATTAAAATTTTCAGAGCAACCCACTGTGTTCAACTAAGGTGATTTGGAATTTTAGCTTTGCTTAAAGACATCAGGATTGTGCTTACTCCAGGTAACATAATACCACAGGTTAAAGTTACATCTGATCCTTAAGCTGGGAACAACAATTAAATCTACTACTCTGATGGGTTACATTAGCCTCTTTTATCGATAGATTTACACAAATGAAAAGGTTATGAAACTTAAAAAGACAGTACTCGTATACGAAAAACGAGAGTTAGATTATCTAAAAGTAACTACTTTTGTTAATAACTAAAATGTTTGTAAGAAAAACTTCTGTTAGGATGTTTTTATTTAAAACGCACTTGATAGCTTTAGGTACAGGTAAAACAAAATACGAAGATTTAAAAAATACCACCTCCTTCTAAATTTCCTGTGCTTGTTTGACAAGAACAAAGCCAAAAGGTTACTTTTAGTTTGGGCAGTCAAAATCGCAGTTAATCTAACTCTTTTGTGAGTATGCTATTTTAAAAAATCGTATCCATGTATTATGTCAACGAGTCTCCCTTCTTTTTTGCTAATATGATTTACTCCACAAAACATCTCTTGAGGGGAAAACATTTTGGTAGCCTTAGTCAGTAATTGATGATTTGATAACAGCTTGTTGTCTTAAGATGTCATGGATGTACAGGGCTTGATAACGATGTTATCTGTGACACCTTTATAATAGATAATCTTAAACCCATCCAAATAAGAAGTCAGAAATTAAGATGTTTGAAGATATGTTTATAAGACGGTCGATGCGTCGAGAAGTATATAATCTCAGTCGACTAGTTGTCGTGAGGAATGCGTTGCCATGAGTATTTGGTTGTGATCTGATTCAGATGTGTGGCCTAGCGCCACTAGCTAGGGTGTATCCAGCAAAACTAGTGAGGTCAGCACTAATGTCGAAGACTCACA